GGGGGGGGGGGGGGGGGGGGGGGGGGGGGGGGAATTGAGGCGGCGATGAAGGAGGAGAGCTTGAACTGTGAGGGCAGCAAAGCGGAGGGAGAGGAAAGCGATGACAACAGTTGGGAATGTTTGTGAACTGCAGGATTGCAACAAGAGTGTTGTCCGGGGTTGTGGCAGTAAGGGGAATTCCTGGAATGAATGAAATTGTTGGTTGGGAAAAAGACAGCAAGGCTGCTGTCCTGCATGGCTACAAGAAGCAACGAGGTGAGGGAGGGAACTGGGGCGGGGATGAAGGTAAAAGGGCTTGGACTACGAGGACAACAAAGAGGAAGGAGGGGAAGGCAATGACAGTGGTTGTAAAGGTTGTGGAGGAGTTGGGTAAGGATAAATATTTTCTTAGGAAGGAGCTATAGACAAAGCACCACTTGATCCCTTGGAAGGAGATGATCACCTTGGATGAGTTACAGCCGGAGCACCTTCTTGCATTTGGATACGGGGGAATTTCTTATTGTCTGCGGTTGTTTTGACATAAAACACCATAAAAATTGCATTTCAAACCCCAATACAATACATATATAGGAAATGACTAAAAAAGAATGAAAGATTATGAGAAAGAAAGCATAAGAAAGAAAAACGGGATTGTTTCGACCACCCATCTCTCGCAATATTGTATCATGTGGCACTAAAGCAGCCCAGTAACGTGAAAATTGTGTTTGAAAGCTCCAACGTTAATTATTCTTATTAAAATAAGAAAAATATTTTATAATTGTAGAATCAAAGTTAACCTCATAGTTGCTTAGAATGCTGTCCACACAAAAACAATATGAATTTTCTTCTACATTTGGTCTATTCCCTTCTATTGTTGTTGGTTCTGAATTTCTTTTTTCATTCCAATATTCTATCTCATATTAGGGAATTAATGTCTTCAATTATTAACTTGGAGATCTTATGAAAAAAAATTGTCAACCAATTTCGTTAATGAAATTATATGCTAGTTGAATTCCTTTGATGTAGTTTCTGTCAATTTCTATATGTTTTGTTCTATTATGTTGCATTGGGTTATCAACATATTTGTTTCTAACTAGTTTCATATTTCTTTACTGCACTTTCTTGTTGGATTTGTTCTTTAAAGAGTAAAGTGCTAGCTAGTTTCATAATACGACTTCATCGGATTTTCTTATTTGATTCTTACTTTAAAAGACTAAAGTGCCAAAGTAATCCCCTCGCTATTTGCACTAGGTCATTTTGGGACCCAGTGTCTATAAAAGTGGCAAATTAGTCCTCACACTTTTTTAATTTGAGCTAAAATAGCTCCATGGTTTATTCTATCTCTTAACCCACTTGGAGACTATTTTAGCTCTTATTAAAAGAGTCCAGGACACTTTTGTAGACATTGGACCTAAAATGACCCCATGCAAAGAGTCAGCGGACCATCTTGATATTTTCCTCTTCTTTAAAATATTTTTTTCTTTGATCTCATAATATTAGCATCAAGGCCGTTGATTGCATCTCCTTTGAAATTCTATAGGAACAAAAATTTAGGGTTTTTTTGGGGCAGCTGCAACTTATTTAACTTATCCAGATAAACAACTTATCCTGATAAGTTGCTGGTCAGCAACTTATCCGAGTAAGCAGTTTGACTGTTTGGTTTGTGTGTTTGAGAAACAACTAATTTTGGATAAATGACCATTCTGCCCATATTTTGGATAAGTTGTTTAGCTGTTTGATTTGTGAGTTTCGAAAACAGCTGATTTGCAAATTTTTTATGTTAATGAACAATTTGGCACGCAGAAGCTGTAATATTTTCAATAAAACTGCAACGTCTACACATTTCATATTTAATAACTAATAAAACCCCTTCATAACATTAGTTTTTTCGGAACGCCCTTTATGTTCAAGGAAAGCATAACTTTTGTAAATCTATTCTCATTTCTAGCTCTCTATAAGCCACCAAACTTATAGAGAGAATGAAACCACCGTTCATATTAACAGGGTTGATAGCAGCAGGAAACAACCAAAAACTTATTAAAATTGAGTTCTCATAATGCGAAACAGCCAAGCTAATGCTAGCCGATATGAAATGAGATCAACTTCAAAAGGGCAACCCTCATATATCAATTACATGACAAAAGAATTTCATCCTAGAGCGTGGGGAGCATATGAACAACAAATGAGTGTTGTCAGTCGAAGGAAGTTATAGTCTGCTACGTCGGAATTGGAGGATCAAAACGCTCAGTTGGGGCGAAAGACATCCAACAGAGAACACTTAGAGAGGAAAACCCATCTTACGGCAACGTCGACGGCCTCTGCAGACATGAATTTCGACGAACTTCACCATCCCCACTCACTTTCCATTATACTAGCGAACAGAACTTTGAGTTGAAAGCAGTTAGGAATCCCAAAATCCTTGTTGTTTTGGAAGGACCCATCAAAAGAGAAGCGAAACTGGGGATTGAATGAGATAGAGAAGTACGAGATGGTGCGCGATATCGGATCCAGGAACTTTGGGGTCGCGAAGCTTATGTGAAACAAGGAGACAAAGGAGCTCGTCGTCGTCAAACATATCGAAAGAGGGCATAAGGTTCGATCTAGAAGAGGAGATGGTGAGGGGGTCGATAGCTCCGTCCGTGAGGAGGAGAAGGCGAACGAGAAGGTCGAGTGATTCGCTTAGAGCAGAGAGAGCGAGGGCCACATACTTATTTCGCTCGAACGAAACGCGGATCGCGGGGTCTTACCCGTGATCCGCGTTTAATAAAAACCTGCCAACGAAGTTTTTAAGAACGCCTCCAAAACGCATTATCTAAACAGCTGGTGGCGTTTTCAAAACGCCACCACTGTGAATAAGCTCCCCCAAACGCACCCTTTGTTACATCTGCGGTTTCGAAACTGTACAGGAGCAAAGATTCAAAGTATAATATGGTTATTTAGTGATTTTTCAAGCACGTTCATAATTTTCATTTATACAAGTTCCCAGTGTTGTGTTGCATTTTTTTTTAATATTTGGCTAGTGCCATGTTAAGACATTGATAGCAAAATGCCGAGGCTCCTACAAGGCAGCTATTTTACCTTAAAAGGAAGTTGTTTAAATTTAATCAAGTTTTTGTATTATTGATTGACTTAGTGTTTGGATATGAACAATGGCTTTGGTTAAATGATTTTTTGGCCTATTAAGTGCATCTGGTATTTGGCGTCTAACATCATCATAAAAGTTTGTTGAATTTGGTATATTTGCTATAAGATAGATCGAAGGCAATATTTTGAATTTTCGTTTGGTGCATGTACGGTTAAAATCTAAAGATTTGAACATATTCTCTAGTGATTGTATGTGAACTTATGTCTCATATTGTGGCCTCACAGTTTTGCCCTCTATTGGAACTGGGTCACTTTCCTCAAGAGAAGCTGAAGGAAGAACAAATGTTTCTTCTGGGGAAAAGGTATCATATTTTCATTTTTATCTTTTCCCCCTCTTATATGATTTTTAATTTCATTCTCTCTCTGTAATATTTAATGTTCACGGACTGATTTTTTATCATGAGAATGAAGGATAGATAATGTTTGGTTTCACCTAGGAGTTCATGGTAATTTATTTATGCAATAATTCCTGGCTTTTGATGCTACTTATTTTAAGCAATTTTTGATGCTTGAAAATTAAAATATTATCTACAATTGGTTTGAGTATTAAGTGCATTTTAAGGTTTTGTGGATTTATTCTAGTTTAATCATAGTTCTTGATTTAAGCATGTTATTTTTTTATTTGGATGGTTCTGTCAAATGAGAGAAAACATCATCAAAAGGTTATACCTGAGTTGTAACTGATTAAGTTGCGTTGCAATTATTGCTTTTTTTTGACATGCTTCATTTTGGATTCCAGGAGGCTCATAAGCTGCTTCAGCCAGCAGACATGACTCTAAAAACAATGGCAATAGAGTTTGCTGAGTACCAGGTGAGAAGCGTGCGCTTTTTAGTTTTAAATGCAAATCTATTCTAGATGAAACCTAGTTAGGGCTTCAAATCGCAATCTATTTCGGAAAAGTAACCAACGGCACTCTGTATTTACTAATTATTTGTTCCATGTCAGGTTTGTGTGGATATTTTTATTACCACACAGGCTTTTGTAGACATTGCTTCAGTCTCTGTGGTTCCAAGAACAACTGGAGGTCAGGTAATAGGTTCACAAATTCTTGTTTTTATGACACTTTATTCGTCAATTCTTGCGCAAAATTGCCTTTATGAACCATGATATTTTATAGAGTAAGAAATCTTGAAGGTTCTTATTTAATGATTATTACTTTCTAAAGCTCTGTAATCCCCTATCCTTTTATTCCCTTCAGCGATTATAGCCAATTTAATGACTTTCTGTTCACATTCAGTTTGTTTGTTATATGAAAGTTTATAAACTTCTTTTCCTTTCCCTCTGCTTGCACTGTTCGTACTAGTATATTTATAGCTGTTGTACTTTTTTTTTTCCGAAGCAATTCCAAGTGCTCGCAGTTTGTGAAAAAGATTAAATAATTTAAATCTTTTTAGTTCAGCTTGTCACTGGGAATTGTTTTACTTTTCTTTTCCTTTCATTATGGTGTCCTATTTATTGCTTGAATTACATTATTTGAATTTGAATTCGTTTATGTTTGTCAAGATTGCTCAAACATGAAGGTTAGATATGATTCAATTATCATTATTATGTACTAGCACAACTATTAGGGCTTAGACCTGAGAATTCTTTTTTGTCATTCATTATTGTTAAATTTTCTACGTTGTGCTCATTCTATTTTGCACAAATTATTTATCATACTTATTCATGTTACCTTTTGATAGTTCAGATCTCTTTCTAAACCTTCTACATTAATTTTATCTTTCAATCTGATTATTGTATCTTCTACTCTACATCATACTTTGTCAAACCATTGGGATTTGTTTTCCATAATATTATTCTGTAAATTATTTCCGTTATCCCTTTTATATAATTATTTATTTCTTCTTAGCCTATCTTAATAGTTTTACCCCACGTCCATTCTATCATTCACATTTATGCCAGGCTCAAATTTTTCTAATAGTGATTCTTAATTGTGAAATACTTAAATTTTTGTAACAGTATTGATTTTATTGTGGTTTTGTTGATTTTCTTCTAGACTCTGTCATTCTTTTATTATATAGTAGTTTGAAGTCACTTATCTATTTAGAATGCCCAATATTAATTGTATTACATCCTTATGCTCTTGTATGTATAATAGATCCAAATGTTTTAAACTTATTTCACCCAGATATCATTTGTTCTTGGAATAATTTTGACAAGTTTGTGTTAAATTCAGTAACACTAAAATTTCATTTATAGTAGTTTATTCTATTAATGCTGAAGTCTAATCATCTAAAAAATCTCTTTATTCTGACAATTTTAACTTACTCGGATGGAGTTTAAACTGTCATTTACAAATAGCTTACACTATTGTATTTTACTAGGAATATTTCTTATATTCATCTTTATCAATAATGAAAACACAGATTTAATATCAATCGATTCATATTATTTTACTGTGATTTGATGACTCCTTAATCAATCAACAACTACTTCTAATGGTAGTTATTGCTCAATCATTTTTATCTTTAGTCATATAGCATCCTTTGATTGCAACTTTTTTTTTTAATTGTTGACTTAATCCAATCATAATCATTTACTTTTTTCAAGACTACTAAAAGCAATATCAAAATATTTTTTTTACTATATATATAAAAAAGGGTACAGATAGGTTGTATGAGTGGGCCCAAATAGACACCGAACCCACACAATATAATACACAAAAAGCAAAAATAAAAACCCAAAAATAGATGGTACATATAAGATCAATTGGGACGACCCAATTTAGTTCTGCCTCTGCATCTAGCTCTCGGAAGGGAACCAACTAACAAATTGGTGAGGTGCGTACCATTGCCCGAAGTAACCAAAGTATCATCCATTAGATTTCTTAGCTCAAGTAGATCTCCATTCTTCTTCTTCCTCCTGAAAGTTTAGACCTGTCATTCCTCATCCGAAGATTGTTGCTCATTCGAATGAGATGTTAGTGCTGTAGTAGAAAGATTGTCAACAGTTGTACCCACAATAGGTTCAAATGTATGTAAGGCATGAGTTGTCACCGCTACCCCTGATACTTGGGGAGCTGCAAGGTTCTCTTGATTATTAGTTCATGTAGGCAGAGATCCTTCAGTACTGTTTTCAATAGGTTTTGAAAGTGTAGGTTGCTCAACAGAGCCGTCCAGCTTCACATCAATCACAGATACAATATTTTCTGCGGGGTCCAAAGGGGCAATTAAGTCAGACACCGAATCTTGTCCTGTGGTAGTTTTCTCTCCAAGTGGAACAAATATGCCCAGAACAGTGGGGTTAGATCCATCCTTATTCACTTGATCTTTAGATTTCAAATTAGGATGAAACTTATGACATTTATCAAGGGTATGCCCGTATGCATTTATCAAGGGTATGCCCAAACATCTTACAATGAGAACAAAAGGAGGTTTATGCTCTATGACGATTTGTTATCAGTATCCATTATGAGTTGTGCCCAACCAGACTTCAGTAACATCAGGTAAAGTAATATCTCTTTCCACAAGTATTCTGACCACATAAGGTTTGGTTAGATTGAAAGTGAGTAGATTTAGCTTCATAAGGTCCCCAAGCATGATCCCAATAGAGTAAAGAACCTGATGATGAAAAAAGTGCAGCTTGAGACTAGGTAGACTAACTCATACCGGTACAGTAGGAGATTCATAATTGAAGTCAAAATTAGGAGACCACTTGAGTAACTTTATTGATTTGCGTGCAATGTTAAGATATTTTTTTGGAGAAAATCCGAGTGTAGTCTTCAACCACGGTTAATTGAATCGACACATGTCTCCCATCTATGAGCCTCACTTTCTACTTCAGACACATGAACTTATTTCACAAGACATTTGTTCTTACAAAAACTAGAGTGAACTTATTTCACAAGACATTTGCTCTTACAAAAACTAGAGGATGTCCCTGCAACTAACTTCATACGACACTTACAAAATTTAAATCCAAGCTGTTACGGTGAAACAAACTATTCTTTTGGAACCAAATCACTTCCATGAGGCTTTTTTCTTGTATAAAACCGAAGTAATTCTTTGATATCAATGTGATTTTCTTTAACTCTTTTTGTTCTACCTTCTCCCATAACTTCATTGTATGATTCATCAATTGAATTCATTATATTATGAAAATTCTGATTTATTTAAACATATTAGCACAAAATGATCCTTCTGAACCAGTTTACATTCTCTTAGTTTTAAATTATTTAAAAGAAATAAAATATTATTAGCATAATTATTTTAATATATTCCAGAACCTTTAAAATCTTATGATTTCTCATACAAACCAAAATTTTTACCCCTTTACATCTAGAATGCCTTGTGCATTTTCTATTCATTCTTATTTTTCCTTAATGATTATGTTTATTACTCAAAAAAAAAATCTATCTTAAAACTTTCATTTAATGCTTTCTTCTAATATCATTTGTATCTTTTTCTAATGTGTTTCTTCATTAAGAACATATTATCATTCATGTTCACTTGTAATGTATCTGTAATATCGAAGTTTTTAGGTCTTTCATGTAGATTACTGCTATGGAGTTTTTTGCTTTTTAAAATTTAACTTTTCCTATTTTATGACCCACTCGGGCCTCTATTTTTTTCAGGTTTATTATTATTACCCATTTTCTGCACTTTCCGACACTGCCAAGCTCTACAATGATCTAAGGTGGAACATCAGCAGGCCCCAAGGGTTTGAGGCTGTAATGCGTGTTAGATGCAGCCAGGCATAGCTCTTATCATTTTGTGCATGCTAATTTTCTTTTGTACACATTTATAATTTATTTTTATTGTCTTACTTTTAACTTTATTTAATAGGGTCTCCAAGTTCAAGAATATTCAGGGAACTTCTGCAAGCGTATTCCTACTGATATTGATCTTCCCGGGGTCAGTCCTTATAAATATGGAATTTATTGTTTATTAAGGTCCTGTAAACTTTTTAGTGAGTTACTTGCATGTCTTTTTTTTTTTTTTTTAATTGTTTGGCGGTTGAGTTTTGGTGTTATTTCAGTCAAGTACTGATTTCCATGTCAGTCTCTGCAACAGGCCAAGGCCTTCCGCACTAAAAAATATTAGGAGGGTAAATTGGGTGGGGAGGAGAGAGAAAGGATTGATTCTCTTTTTTACATGGATGTGCACTATCAGTCCCAAAAGGGTTTTGGGGAAGAGAGAGAGGGTGAGGGAGGGAGGGAAAACTTGAGGGGAGAATTTGGTTTTGTTCTCTTCTTTCATTAATTTGTGCGCCCACTAACTGGCTGTGTGGTGGCTGGGAAGAGAGTGAGAGAGAGGGAGAGAACTTGTGTAGAGGCTTAGTTGCCTTCTTACATGCTCACAGAGGGAGGGAGAAGCATTGGCACAGTAGAGTGGATGACTCTTTTCATACTTGGATCCACACGCCATCTAGCTGCAGCAATTGGTTGGTGGGGGTGAGTTGGGCATCTTAAAATTAAATTTGATTCCTCATTTCATCCTTTTTTAACGGAAAAAGTTTTCCCCTAGCCAACTAGCTACTTATAACCTCATATTTTAAAATTTGAAGAAAGCCTTCTGGTTAAAATCCACTTGTTTCTTTCAGTCTATAACGTTTCAGCTGGTCATTCTAAATTTTATTGATTTAGCTTAGGTGTTAGCTTTATGTTTATTTATGTTAAACCTTTAGCTTGTCATCTATATTCTTTTGTTTCACTTAGATCTAACCGTAATGAGTTTTGGTTGTCCTATCTTCATATTGGAATCCTTACTCGGTTCTAGAACTGTGTTTTGGCAGATTGATTGTGATAAAGCCATAATGGTGTCTTTTAAGCATGATGATAAATTCCAGGAGGGGACAGAGTGTGCTTTTCAGGTACCTTAGTAAATTTGGTTTCAGTTACTGCCTTCTGCCTAAATACAGCTTTTTTCAGTCTGAGATTTTGATTGGTCTACTCTTGGGCTTTTCTGTCTGAGATTTTGATTTGTCTACTCTTGGGCGTAATTCTTTTATATTTTGTTGAGAATTACTTCGAAATTTTATAGCACGCTATTTGTTTAATTATTTTTTCAGTGCGCACTGCTTTATACTACTATTTATGGACAAAGAAGGATTCGAGTTTCAAATCTCTCTCTTCCCTGCACAAGTATGCTAGGAAACCTCTTTCGTTCAGCAGACTTGGATTCACAATTTGCTTGTTTTTTGAGACAAGGTAACTTATTTAATAATTTTTTGTGTGTGTGTGCTGATTACTTTCTAGCATTAGCATGAACATAAATGCTTTTGTAGATTATTCTATAGCATTAATATGATAGTATTACCTTTGTCTGTTTCGTTGAAATACATAAACATGTGGGAAAATTACATGTTCATTGAGGATATATAGGAGTGCTTCACTTCATCTATATTTTTTGAAAGCTCTTTAATGTAGTTTATTTTTTTAACATGCAAATTGGTCTATGAGATGAAACACCTCTCTTTGTAGAGATTTTTTGTTTCCCAAGTTTCTGTTGGGTGGTATGACTAAATTTGCATGTGACATTTCGTCTTTGTCTAAGAAACCTTCTCTCATAGTTTGACCCATTTTGATGGTGGGTATTGCTCAACATGGCCTTCACCCATCTCTCTTCGCTTAGCCCAATCGAACTCACATTCCCCCGTTTTCCCCTTCCATAAACTTTTCTTGTATTTGCATTGCGAAGGAATAGGCCTTAATTTCAACAACAATTTGCTTCTCAACTGCACTCTTCTTTTGTCTTCTTATTTTCTCTGTTTATTTGTTCATTCCACCACGCTTGTATAGGTCTACCACTCCATGAAGTTTCGTACCCATTCTAGATGAAAATAATTAAAAGGTTTGATCCCCTTGGCAATCTGGATCTTTGCATTGTCTATGGGCTTTGCAAAGGTTCTTTGACGGGGGATTTACTATGAACCTCCAGGAACCCAAGTTGCTAACTTTGAGTAATCACAGTTTTAATAACTTCAATAGAGAAATCCCCTCATTCCTATCACTGCATTAACTGAAATTCTCTATATTTCCCTCATTTTTTCAGCTGGCCACTCCCACACCAGATAGGAGCAGCTTAGTCATCATGCTAAACATTTCATACTGGAAGTTTGAAAGTATACCCATTGAATCTTTTTTCTCGCCATGGGTGAAATCTTACCAAATCTGACGATCTCATGTTAGGCAGTGCTCATTGGAAAGTATGAACCTTCATTGTTTCCTTTTGGAAAATTTACATGCATTGCACTCAATTCTTATGTTTTTACACATCTCACATCTAAAGTTTCATATTTACATACATAGCACTTTGGTACTTTAAACCTATGAAAATTTAAGTCTGTGATATGTAAATACATAAATATTGTGTGCTATGCTATGTAAATGCCCTTTTCTTCTATGTTGGCACAAATTTGTGCCATGGACATGATTGTTGAGCCTGCTGGATCTATGCATGGTTTATTGACCTTAACGAGTCATCTGCCATTGCTAGTGAACCTTGCAACGGACTCAAGCTTGATGTCACACTCTGCCATCTTAAAAAAATTAGCAAGAAAACTATGGAATGGAAGATTGTAGAGAAGACCAGAATATAGAGAGCAAACCAAGGGACTCTAGAAGACTCCACCACATTCTAGAGAATGTTAGGAAAAAAAGTTCCAAGGATAACTCGAGAATAACCTAGTAAAGTCTAGGGTTTTGTATGTATAAGAGATTAATGTAGAATTGTCTAGAAATTAACATATTCAAATGTAATCTAGAAAGTTCTTTTGGACTTGGAGGGGACTATAAATAGAAATCCCTCCCCTCATTTGAAATCCATTCATGAACCATCCAATTTTCCCAGTATTTAAGTGTTGTAATCACTCTTTCGAAGTGTTTCTTACTCCATTACTTCTCCCTATTCTTTTTCAAAGAGTTGTGTGCTTATAAATTCATGAACTGTGAGGGTTAGACTGATTTAGTGTCAAGGAAGAGCGCTAAAGCCACACAGGTGACGTGAATAAGTTAGTCCGTGACAGTTAATATTTGAGCCTTAGTTTGAAGGTATGACAAAGAGCGTTATAAAGCACGTAATGGAGTCTGAAGCCACTAATGTGAAATTATCTCAACAAGGGCGAGGTCGACAAGAGCTACGAGATCTAGCTACATCCAAACCACCTGGGCCCAAGGAAATCATGCACGACTTTGATTCGCGCTTTGCTCGGGTGGAAGAGGCAATGAATGGCGTGAAAGCCCAAAGAAAGGATCTTGGCCAAAAGGTTGATGGACTCGAAGAGGAGGACATCACAATCCATTTAACGATCAGAGGTATGATGCTCAAACTGGAGGAGTCTTTAAAAGAGCAAATGGCTAAGATGTGGGAGGATTTGATGGGGGAGCTCCAGGAGGTACGAAGAGCCCGTTAAGACGAGATGAGAGACATACGTGCTAGCTTGGAGATGCTTGGAGACATTTCGCTATGCAAGAGGGCTCTAACGACATCCACCAACAATTATACTATCGAAGCCAAACACATCGAATTACCAAAACCTAAGAGTTTTGGGAGAGCTCACAACACAAAGGAAGTAGACAACTTTCTATGTGGACTCGACCAATACTTTAGAACGATGGAGATTATGGATGAAGAGAGAAGAATACAATTTGAAACTCTTTATCTCTCTAACATCGCTATGTTGTGGAGAAGAAGGCGTGGAGACATCGAGAAAGGTATGTGCACCATATCCAATTTTGATGACTTCAAAAAAGAGCTAAAGATGCAATTCTACTTTGAGAATGCGAAGGAGGAGGCTAGAGCTCGATTGCGAAGGCTCAAACTAAAGGAATCGATTCAGAAATATATTACGGAGTTCACAAGCTTGGTTTTTGAAATTCTCGACATGTATGACAATGATGCTCTTTTCAACTTCATGGATGGACTCCAATAGTGGGCAAAGACTGAGCTTAAGTGGCACGTAGTGCAAGATCTTGCCATTGTCATCGCAGTCTCCGAAACCCTAATTGATTACTCAAAAGAGTCCACAAAGTCTAAAGATAAAAAGGGTACTTATGTCAAAGGTAGGGAAGACCAGGATCAACACAAGGAAGAGTCCCGCCACGAATCAACTTCATCCAAGGCAAAAGACAAATGAAAGTATAAAAATGACAAAACTAATTCACACAACAAATGCTTTCTTTGTGATGGACCACATTGGGCAAGGGATTGTCTTTAGAAGAAGGCTCTAAACTCTCTCTTTGTATGTCATCGGGAGGAAGAAGGTGGTGATACGACGACACAAGAAGGGGCTATACAACTGCTAAATGGGATCCAAGCTCCAACAAAACCTCAAGCAAAGAGGGGTTATTCTTTGTGGAGATGGTAATAGGAGAGAATACTACTAGAGCAATGGTCGACACAGGTGCTTCTCACAACTTCATTTTTGCCAAAAGAAACAAAAAAGTTGGGTTTGTGAATAACTGAAGGAGTCGATTCACCAGTAAGGCCAATCTATGAAATAGCCAGAGGAGTAAAGACCAGTATTGGAGTGTGTTCAAGTACCTTGGAATTCTCTCTCATTATGATGGATGATTTTAAAGTGGTATTAGGGATAAACTTGGATTCCCAGTACCCTTCACTAATAACATGTGCATCATGGAAGTGAATCAAGCTTGCTTAGTACTAACAAAAAGGGCTAATAAGCAGGAAGTCACAATGCTATCGACCATCCAGTTCAAGGAGGGCATTCCACAAGATGAGCAGACTTGCTTGGCTACCCTTCTTGATTCCAATGAGGAAGGAAAGCCCCAAAAAGACATGCCAAGGGAAGTGGTGGTAGTGCTTTAGGAATATAAATGTGTTTCACTAGAATTATCAACAGAACTACCACCAAGAAGGGAGAAAGAACATCAGATTAGGTTGGAGCCAAGGACTGAGTCGTCACCCATGAAGTCTTAATGCATGGAATCCCTCCCGCATGCAACCAGTTATAAAGGGAAAAACCCAATAGCTTTAAAGTTTGTCATGCCCGTGAGCAAGCAAATAAGGGAGTTGGTCCGTGTGTCACTGCGTGGGATTACAAGAACTAAAAAATGGCAGACAAGAAAATGAGACGCGAAGACACCGGAAAAAGAAAGAATCGAAGCCACAATGAGAGCATTGCGAGCTTAAGTGGGGGAGAGTGTCACATTTCGTCATCTTCAAGAAATTCGCAAGGCAACGATGGAGTGGAAGATTCTAGAGAAGACCAGAATATAGAGAACAAGCCAAGAGACTCTAAAAGACTCCACCACTTTATACAGAATGTTAGAAAAAAAAGCTCCAAGGATTAATGTAGAACTATCGAGAAATTAATATATTCTAATGTAATCTAGAAAGTTCCTTTGGACATGGTGGGGACTATAAGTAGGAATCTCTCTCCTCATTTAAAATCCATCGAACCATCCAAGCATCTAAGCAATCAAGTGTTGTAATCAATATTTCTTAGTGGAGTATTTCTTTATCCAATACTTATCCCTATTCTTCTTCCAAAAGTGTTTTGTGCTTACAAGTTCAATAGTTATGAGGGTTAGACAGATTTAGTGCCAAGGAAGAGCGCTAAAGCCTTACGGGTGACTTAAGATAAGTTAGTTCGTGACATTGAGCTCACATGGATCTCACAAGTCACAATCTCTATTGGTGCTCACTAACCTACAAATATGGTTGTTTTTTATTCTTCATTTTCTTCAAGCAGCACCACAAACTTACTAGCAATGGTGGCAAAGAGGTGCCTACGAAGTATTTGAAGGCAAAAAATGTGGGATGTTTTACAATTTGGCCTAAGTGAACTACTTTTCTAATAAGTTGGCTCCGTCTTCATGTTTACCTAATCAATGTTTAAAATTTTACAATTAGATATTGAACTGTTTTTCGTTCATGAGGTGAGGCGTAAGTCTCCAAGCTATCTAAGGCATAAGTCTCACAGTTTGAAAATTGCATAAGTCAAAATAAAAAGGTAAAAATGATACATTAGCATCATAACTTATATATATGTATACGCGTATCTATGTATATTTAAAAGGAAGACATTAATAGAAAAAGTGACATGAATTAACAAATTGTGTAAGTTGTAAAGTATCTTATAATAACTTGCACAAATAAAAATATAATGTAATAGTAGATTTTTTTCTCACTTTTATTGCTCAATCAAAATAATAACATTCATATATCTAATAAGAACAAAAGAATTAACCAAAATTTTGAACAACATGTGATAACCGCGACAACAGGAGCTGCTGACGGCGGCGGCGGCAGGAGTAATGTGGTGCCTATAACAAAAGAAATAGGCTGCTATAACAAAAGAAGCAAGCAACCGTTGTAGTGGAATCAACAAGTGAAGTTGGTGATGCTAGCAACGAAAGCCGTGGTGGCAATGATGGTGGTGCAGGTAGCAAAAGCAATTGCCGAGAAGCTTGACTAGGTAGAGTGGAGTTCTTGCACATTAGATCGTGGCTTCTATTCATCTTCAAACTGTTTAATACTAGAAGAAAAAAGCCTAAGCATGAGACGGGTTTTGAGGCACGCCTCAATCAATGTGAGTGTATGCCTCGCCCGAGTTGCTCGAGGCATGCACCCGAAAACATTTTTCTTCATAATAACGCCGAGGCGGGCCTCAAGGCGTATTTCAAATTGCACAATTTTAAACAATGTATCTAATTTTATGTGCAAGATTCTCCAAATTATTCTGGATTTGAATGTTATTCTATTTAGCGTAATAGTTCAAAATCATTCAAAATGCTTTACCTTAAGTGTCATATTATTCACACTAGACTATATTAGTTTCAAGATTCATGATTTTAATGCCAATAGTAGTTCTGAATTGTTTGGACTCTTTGAGAGTGAAGCATAATAATAATTATGAGCGCGTTTAGCTCATCAGAATTGATGGAGCAGTTTCTTCTTAGGAACTTTTCTCCCTATCATGGTTTTTTTGCTTTGCATTCATGATTTAGGCAATTAAAAAACCTATTAAAAAATAATCCCACTTATTTGAAAAAAATTGAAGCTAGTGTGCACCAATTGAAAACATGCATTCTGTACCTGGTGCATTATTTACAAACAAAGATGGAGCTGTTTCAATTGACATGCATTCTTTGCCCAGTGTTGTTCATCTCCTATTATTTATTTTATATGTTCTTACGATTTCATAAATCCCACTTATTTGACAGGCTTCTCACTTTTGTTTGTAAATATTATTATTATTATTATTATTATTATTTTAATAAGAAGGCCTAGCATCCATTGCGTAATTAAAAATTTCACATATATTGTTACTTTTCTGAACATGGTTCTTGTTTTTGAACTTCCCACAGCTGCAACTGGAATCCCAACTAGCCCTCTTTCCCAAGTTCGGGAACAAATTATGAATCTCTGTGTCAACATCCTACACTCCTACCGCAAATTCTGTGCTACTGTGTCATCGGCCGGACAACTTATTCTGCCGGAGTCACTTAAGCTTTTGCCTATATATACTCTAGGTATTCCACCCCTCGCCTTTGATTTTTTTTTTGTGAAACTTTGTTATGTACTAATTTATATAAGAATTTGATTTGTTACTATTGATGTATACCAATTTTGGTAATGACTGCTGCAAAAGTTACATGCTGAAGAAACAACGAATAAGCCATGCTCCTGTATCAATTATCACCCAAAATATCATAATAAAAAGCTGAATTCTTCAGTTTTCTTCATTTGACTTGCAATTAAGTGAATTGTGGAAGCTTCAAATTTTACTGGAGAACCGAATGACATTACATGAGCATGGCACGTGAAAGTTGCCTTACAGACTGAGGCATTAATGAATCTTTACTCCATTGGGCTATAGCTAAAATTTCTCTTTCTCGTATTTATATTACTCCTTTTTTTTGAACTATTTTAAAAATGCTGCATTGTCAATACCTTGCTGTTCAACTCCTTGAATTAACAAGTTGCAAGAAATTTAAAGGCATTAATTTAACGTCCTAGTCGATTGTAATATGATGAAAACCTAAAAAATGGTATGTTGAGGAGTTATAAAAAATGATTATTTCAATAAAAGTATTCATTTTCAATTTTTCTATGTGATTATTTTCATGCTGATACGAGCTTGACAAAACACTGATAGACTGTTTCCGAGCCTATTGAGGTTGGGAAGGGTTATTTTCATTTCTTTTACATGTCCAAGTCAGCAGAGTTCTGCGAATGTAAATGACGGTTTGTTGTTTAAAATCTTTTGTAAGTACTGGCTTGCTTGTATATATTAATGTGAATATCACAATCAATGTGCGCACTGATGGGGTAAAATGACAATCCGTCTGGAATGTTTGAACCAGCAGCTCAAAATGGGACTTATTAGTCTATTTTTGTACTTATGAATTTTGGCTAATACAAAATTTTGTTGCCCTTAAAATTGAATGCTTTTTGAGCGAACAAATTTTTTTTTTCACAATTGGAGCTTAATATTGCAGTTTCCATTATATATTCTTCTTTGTTATAAACCACCGAAGTTGCATTTTGGTTCTATTCAATCACAAGCGTGGTCACATTGTTTTGTTCTGTTCTAGCACTGTGTAAAAGCACTGGTCTGCGAAATGATGGGCGGTTAGATGAGCGATCATATTGGGCCAGTCATGTTGCGTCCCTGTCTGTGTCATTCGCCATTCCCTGGGTGTATCCTAGAATGATATCCATCCATGATCTAACTTCAAAGGTATGATTAATTAAAATAAAACATTGAAGGGGCACTTACAGACTTACACCCAATTGTTATTTATTTACTTATCTAACACCTAAATTTTACATTTTATATTTTACATTTATGCCACCCAAATCTTACATTTCACATAAAAATACCACTATTTTAACTTTTTATAAGCGAAATATACTTCTTCATGTCTAGTTAAGGTGGCATATATTTAAAAATTGAAGTTTAGGTGTTAGATATATAAATACATAAGAATTGAGTGGTATGTATGTAAATCTTCCAACATTAAAATTAAGGAAGATCTATTCTTTCATTTTAATTGTTAGATTAGATTATTTTGAAGCTCCCTTTTTATTGCTGCCCCACAGGAGAACAATGGCTCTATACTATCTTCTACACTTCCTCTTTCTTCGGAACATTTAAATGATGATGGGATTTATCTCCTTGAAAATGGTGAAGATTGCTTATTTTTTATTGGAAACATGGTGAACGCAGAGATTCTCCAACAGATATTTGGAGTAACCTCTGTGGATGGACTCCCAACACAGGTGAGCATACCAATTCCTTCTCCAGCATATAAGAAATTATATTTCAGCGAGTAGTTATTATATATATATGCCGCGCTTATCTACTTATTTATGTTCCTTTTTTTATACTATTTTCCTTTCCAGTTTACACACTAGTATAATGTTCGCCAACAGTATTCTAAGGTGCTTGTCTGAGATTCATCCCTCGTAGCTCTAATCAAACAACTAGATGTGAAGAATGAATGCCATACCCTTTGTCTTCTAGTCCCCATATCACCATGCTTTTCATTTTGATTTAATGAAAATAGTATATATGCTACAGGAAATTTAGGGTATATTTGGGGCAGCTGTAGCTTATCCAGCTTATTAGGTGATAAGCAGCTGATCTGGATAATCTGTCTGTCTGTTTGGTTTGTGCTTATTGAGAACAGCTGCTTCTGAAAAAATGACCAAACTACCCCTATATTGAATAAGCTATAGCTGTTTGTTTTGTGCTTTTTAGAGACAGCTTATTTGAGTTTTTTTTTACAAAATTACTAACACTCTCAACGCAATCATAAATAGAAAAATTAGAAGATTGAAAAACATACGTGAAAATACAAAATATTTATATCACTGAAATATTTCAAATCACATCAGAGATACAAAATTACCCAAACAAATGTGAAATACACCATAACGCACTAGTACATACTATAATGGGACCCAACAAAGAAGAAAAAATAACATGTCAAAATTACAAGGAAAAAAAAATAATATTGACTTTTACATGTAGTAGCATATCACGTCCCACTGTGCCCAGCTCTGACACTCCAGAACTCTGAACAACCTGTCCGACTGAGATACAGTAGAAATGGAAGCAGTTGAAGCAGATGCGGTGTTCTGAAATGTTGATATCGACGAACTCTGTGCCGGGGTGTCCATCTGGGATATCATAGAAACAGACTCCCTGTCGGCCCACCTGAAGAATTTGTAGTCTTCATGCCGTTGTGACCACCACGGGCACTTGTAAAATTGCCTCCCGAAGCTATGTGTCTGGCGTGACGTGAGTAGCAACCGACACATCACTTTCTTGGACTTCCCAGAATATCTTGAACTTTGTTTTTGAATTTTAACCTATCGTACTCACGACCTGTCATTTCCTTAAACTTATTGTTATTTATGAAATATATAAAGTATATTTACCGAAGTATGAAAACAAAAGAAAATATACTTTCTAGCCATCCAAACTGCTCCACCGTTATGTCAATCCAATCAGTACTCAGATAAAAAATAAATGTGACAAAAGCAAATATACTTTGTTGTTGCTACAATACCACACTCATATAACATTTCAACATAAAAAAACAGAATGACACAATGATTGCTGTAATTATTTAAGCCATCCTAAAATGCCAACTGTTTTGAATATAGGAAATTCTACTTGGATTAAACTTCGAATGCCAGCCATATAAATATCCAAAACGAATACCCCACCAATCATTTAACAGAAATATTCCAAAACTGTAGGCCAAAAAGAAACTTGCTCTACTTTTTAAACTGTAGGAAAAAAAAAACATAAATATTTCAAAACTACAAGAGCCATTTTCAAAATTGTAACAGCCATATTCCAAAACTGTAAGCTAAATATAAGAGCCATTTTTGGATGCAAGCCATTTTCAGTTGCCAGAACATCCAATATAACCGCTAAATATAAGAGTCATTTTCAGTTTCCAAAATTGTAAACAAAATATAAGAGTCATTTTCGGATGCCAACCATTTTCATTTTCCATAACATCTAATATAAAAGCTAAAGTGAAGATTTCATTAGTACCATCCTATGAATTTGAAGCAAATGTAGTAAGACCAAAAGAAATATAAAATGCAGAGAGACGAATGAGTTAAACATATTTTTGAGCTGCTATTTTATGTAAATGCTCCAGATAGGAACTCCACACTATGAATTGGAAAGAAACCATTCCAACATTGCTATTTTATGTAAATGTTCCCTCAACCATGTCAAAAATAATGCAAACAGAAGTGTTTGCTCTACTTGAAGAGTGTTTGCACATGAATTAGAACATACCTCATATGGAAGCACATTCGTGTATAGTATATCATTTTTTATCTATGTATTTATAGTATACTTCTATAACATGACAAATAACATATAAACTTAACCCCACCAATCATTCCAATCCGTATGAATAAACTTAAAATGAAACCCCACCAATTATTCCAATCTACAAAGTAAATGTATACTCTTTAAGCATTTAAAAGCAACTCAACAAAGTAAAATGTATACTCTTTAATAAATTATATGAAAAAAACAACCACATCCCCAAAACTTTCACAGCTCTGCAGGTGGAAATAACATTTACTAGCCAAAACTGCATTTAAAAACATTTAACTGCAGCTCTTTAAGTTGTTAAAAACAGCTCCTTAATAAGCATTCCAAAACATAGATAAAAGCATATAACTGCAACCCATAATTCTAAATGCATAAATGTTTACTCCATAAGCATTTCAAAACAGCTCAAAAAAAAATTAACTACAACTCAACATATTATAGAAAAGAAATATTCTGTTGTTGAGTTCAATTAGGAGTTGCATAAAGCATCCGTGCTACACACCTTCTTGGGTCTCAAATTCATGGGTTCCAATAACTTCTTCAAGAATAAACTGGCCGATCTGGTATTCAAATGCTTCTGCAGGAATATGCATCTCTTCGGCGTCAGCCATATTGAAATCTGTGTCTGATCTAGATGGATGTCGTCTAATAAAATTGTGGAGCGCCATCGTGGCCACCACAATATGAACTTGTTTTGGAAAAGGGTACGTTGGCATATCACGGAGGATTACCCTTTTTTTTCCAGACCCCAAATGCTCTTTCAATAACGCTGCGCAGGGATGAGTGACGTTTATTAAACATCTCCTTTCTACCACGAGCAATGTCGCTTGATCTCTCAAAATCAAGAATGTGATATTTGGTGTCAGGAAATGCTTCAAACAACCTCTCTGTAAGGGATAACCGACTTCAACCAAATAATATTTGTCTGTAAAGGATGCATTATTTTTCTTTACTGAGTCGTTCAAATTAAAGCAAATAGGTTTAACATAAGTATGCCAACCTGGAGGTGGGTGGGGGAAGCATTGTCTGACATTCCTTGTTGCATACATAAGCAAGCGACTGTCATGAGCACTACCTTCCCATCCGACCATCACAAATGTTAAACACATGTTAAAGTCACAACGACCATAACATTTTGTGTTGGAGAACCACATCGGTCGATGTAAGACACTTTTTCATCAGACTGGAGTCGTGCATCCACGTGTGTACCATCAATTGCACCTATGCAGTTCTATGAGAAAATGTAATTATTCTGGAGTCAGTGTGGAAGAACAATGGGTAGGCAAATGCTATGATAAATAAAGGAAACTCACCTTGAAATATGACATGTAGTGTTCGTCACTCGCTATTTTTTCAGGAGTATTAGCTTAATTATTTTAGTGGCTAAACTAATTAGTGATTTCAATCTTTGAGAGAAGTATCGACTGACCGTCTCAGAATGCTCTCTGATCGATTCATTTTGAGATAAGATATATAAAGTAATTGCTAAAACCTCCCTTATGGTAGTCCTTAACGAACCTTCAAGCCCATGGTTGGTTCGAAGCTCTTGTAAAAGATCTAGAAAAATTGGTACGCTCATCCGGAAGATGTTGCTGAACCTTATTGGATGCCCAACTAACATCTCGCCTACCCATTTATCCCCAATAAACGACGAGGTCATGCGTGGTGTTTGATGAATAGGAGAACGATAGTATTCTAACAACAATATAGCAATCGCAGCCGCCATTCTTCTGCGACGTTCTCGATATCGATTCATCCTGAAAAATCAAACAATAATCACATGAACAAATAAAAAAAACCTGTAGGTTGAGAAGTGGTTCTAACATTTGTTAACCAATCAAACATCACTTAAACATTATAATGTTAAATCGAGTTCAACATATAAAGGTCTCTAACATAATACAATAGCCGACATATCCAGCAAAGTTCACAAATAGAACAATCAATTTTCGATAGAAAGACACAAGTATTGCACTCGAAGTTCAGGCCGAAGCCTCTTGAAAATCTTTTTTTTTGTTCGACATTCAAGCACCCTAACACATTTTAAAAAGAATTCATTATCAACCATAACTTCATGTATGTCTTCTAAAAGGTTCATAAAACGATCAACATTGGGATCATATACTTCTGGTTCAACAGGTTGTGGAGCTGCAAATACTTCTATGAGTCGGTCTATTGAGCTCTGCACAAATACATCTTTGTTTTTTGTCTTTTTCTCCATCCTATGCCTCTTTGATTGGCCTGTGAACTCGAGCTCCCTCGGGTTCATGCTAGGACCTTGACCAGAACCCATAAGTGGATCAGGTGTCAAGTCAAGTGATATGCCATCGAACCCGAGTTCACTTGGGTTGAAGGTATTATGCCCCGTAGCTACAACACCCTTAAACATCACATCCAATTTGTCTTTCAATTCCGGGTCAATTCCACACACCTTAAATTTTTTCGCATTTGACACAACCTGCAATAAGAAATTGGGCAAATTAATTAAAATTGCAATAGATAAACCGATTGAAGGGGAGGGAGGGGGGGAAGTATTACCTCAAGTTTCTCAGCCCATCATTCTTCTGAAGCATCTATAGTACGTTTGATGGGATCCCAACCCAATCCTGTGGATCCTCATTTCAGTTTCTTCCATAACTTTCAGTCTTTTTTCAGCTGATCCCACTTGTTTTTGAATTTTAACCTGTAGTACTCACGGTCTGTCATTTCCTTAAACTTATTGGAAATATTTTGTCACCCTTCTTTGTTAAAATAGGTGGTAGGCCGATTACCAATTTCAATCTTTTAATACATAAATTGCAAAAAAATGGCTGTGACATCTTTATCCCAGATAGCTGAAGTAGAGGCTTCTTTGTTCTTAGCCATAATGATACTATTAAGAAAATGATTCAATTCTTCAAGAATGCTATCA